TCACAAAAACAATGACCTGAAACTCAGGATCGTCTGTAAGTCCCAGGAGGATGAACTCAGTCACTGCTGAATGATTGTGTTTGGCCATTTAGCAGATATAGAAGTTTATGTAGTAAACCCCTCCAGAGCAAACCCTCTGAGTTATCTCAATTCTGTAGGAAATAATCCACATTGGTATYAGAACAGGAAAGACTCAAAAAGGTGTGCTATATTTACTCAAAGGAGAACTGTGATATGTACTCTCAATTACACTTGGATTTTCTGATTTGTGTGTGTGTGTGTGTGCGCGCATGCACGCACACACACAGACTACAAGTGTAGATAAGACTATATTAAACATAAGTCAAAGGAAATAAAAATGTGTGAAAGTTAGAATATGAGAAAATTTTTAACCATATAAAGAAAATACTTCAATGGCAACATATAAGGTCATAAGCCAAAATATTGACAGTATATCTCTAACCATACAGTTTGGGGGTATTTATAGAATATTCTTCTTCATGCATATCTACATGCTCTGAATATACTTTTATCAATATGCAGTATTTAGAAATTTTAGAGAAAAGTAAAAAATATAAGTACTATTTTGAAAAACATACATGCACATACCTAGACATATGCACAAACATATATTTACAATTTTCTTCTTAAGGATGAATAATATATATTTAGATAATTCAGAAGTCTTATTTTATCCTATATCTTTAAGTATCCAGTGACAAAGGGAAAATAATATACTATAGACTGTAGTTTATTTTATGCATATTGCTTTCTAGTAACCAGAAAGATGAGAAAATTTAAATTCTTTCTTTAAGCAGAACAGAGACATATAATTGTCATTATTTCTGCATTTTTTGAGTGCTAGAGATTAAATTTAGGGTCTCCCAATATGCTAAGTAAGTGCTCTACCACTGAGCTACACACCCAGGCCCATTCTTTCTTCTGTCTTCTTGGATAAACTTTACCTAAGCCCTATAGATGGACAAGGTAGATGCCCTGTTCATTAATTGATAGAATAACCATCCAATGTTTGGTTAAATCAATTAAGTCTCTAGAAGACCCTTACAGCCCAGATGATAACACTTTATCCCCAAACCCTTACCTACAGTCTATGAAAATCATGTGTGCTTTACCTAAAATTTCACAAGTTCCAAAATATTGGWTAATGTAGAAATTGATAACATGCACTCAAACACCTAAAAAGTGCTCAATTCACATTATTAATAGTAATGAAAATATTAGGAATTACTACTATCATCATCACTATTGTCATAAATTCAGTTTTGTTCTTAAAAAACTCTACTGCCTACTGCCATCTTTTAGTCACATGCCCGAAATCACTGTATTTCCAGAATAGTCATTTGGTTTGAAATTGCTCAGAAACTTATCTGTGATTCCTTACCCTGCTGGCTGTCAGTATTTTGGGGATTGCCATTCACATTCACTATTCACTTTTCTATGGAGCTCTTGCTTTGAAATTTATTTAACTACCCCAACATCTTCAAATTTTTCTTCTCTTTCTTTAGCTGTTCTATATTTGAGAACCCAAAATCTAGGAAGTTTTCAAATGGCCTTACTTACACTATGATATTTCTATTTATATAAAGTGAAAATTTCTGCCCCCATGTTAAAAAAGTACATACATTATACATATAAACAGTTGTTATTGGAAGTTTATGTAGTCTATTTAGTGTCTATACTATTTAGTGTCTCTTTCTTAGTTTAGTCAGAACAAACAGAGCCACTTATAGGTTATAGATTCATATAGATTTAAGGTATTTAAAAATCACAGTTAAGGCCTACAGTAATTTTGGAAGAAATAGAACAGTGAATATTAAGAAGGCTAAAGCTGTAACATCAAAGAAACTCATTTTAAGAATACAAACCTGACACACAGGTGTGATTGTGGAGAGATTTAAGAGATGGCTGTGTCCACCAAGTGGTAGATCTGCAGAAATATCAAATGTTCATGTCATCACTTTGGATGTCCGTATGCCCTACTCTGTGAAAACAACGGCTTTTGTTTTTTTCTGTGACTCCCAGATATAACACATTTCTTCCAATGACAGACTTTAACTCAGGAAAGGGATTTAGCAAGTCATCAATTSTCAACTCTAGCAGAAGTTGTGAAGTCAAAGTGACAACAGGGATTAGGGAAAGTCCTTCTTTTGCAATCCAGCACCAACACACATCCATCGGAAAAAAAATTCAGCATCCAAATAAATACACTAACAGCATCATGCTTCATTGCAATATGATATAATTCACTCTCATAAAAAAAAACTCTCTCATTTTATCCACTCTGGGAGAGAAGCTGAACCACACTCTAGATTTCAAATCTTGAAAATCAAATGTTAGGATACGGGGTTAAATACTACTAACATACCTCATATTAGTTCATGATTGGGCCAGGTGAAGTTGAAATTATAACCTTAAATAGATGGAACAAACGTGAACATCAACTGCAATTTAATAATCCCAGAAGTTTCAGATGACCACTTCTTTGAAACTTCTGATTTGATTTAGTGGTCTTGGACATACTGAAATTAAACTTTAAAGGTGAAGAGMAAACGATGGCATTTGACTTGGGTGTCTGCTTATACCTTATTATTTTAATGCTGCTCTTACATATTTGCTGATTAATTCAAATACCACACAGTGTAAGCTGTATCCAGAGCAAAAGATGGCTCTGAAAACTAGCATTTCCTGCAGAATAAGCTACATGTGCAGCACAACACAGCAATTCTAGTAAAATCTAAAATTCCATGAAAGGTAGGGGTGTTTATAAAGCTTTGTAAAACCCTGGAAGGGAATTACAGTAGAGACTTATAATTTGGGGGGTAAGAGATAATTTCTTCACTGGATAATTATTTGTCTTTTGAGAATAAAGTTTCTGACTTTATTAGATCCTTGGAGAAACTGAACAGTTCACCCCAGGCTAGCTACCATGTTATCAGGACACCTGAGCTGCCCAGCCTGAGCTGGGTRTTGTCTGAATCTCTATGCCTCGAAAATGGACATGAATAGCAGCTCTAGGATTTATTGGTATAGGGCTTGAGCTTATCCTATAGACAGAAATGACTTGCATAAGATTGTGACTCTGATTTACATGGTTAATAGCAATTATATCTATGAGGTTGTTGATCTATCTCTTCCTCCCCCCTTCCTTGCCTCCTCCCTCTTCCTTTCTGTTTTTGGATTCAATTTTAGTCATGTTCTATATTTTATGCTATACTCTGCTTCGATAAGCTTGATTTTGATTTTATATGCATATTTTTATTTTGCAATGCAGTCCATATTTATGAATATTGATAACTTCATTTTACCTCTTCTATCTCTATATTTGTGCCTCTTTGGTACCCATATTGGTGCAAGAATTTGATACCAAAAATAAAGAGATAAGCATGAGTCACAAACTCAGAACTTTCTTCTGTGCGATTGAAAATGGTCAAATCAAACCAGGCGCGGTGGCACACGCCTGTAATCCCAGCGACTCGGGAAGCTGAGGTAGGAGGATCACAAATTCAAAGCCAGCCTCAGCAACTGWGAGGTGCTAAGCAACTCAGTGAGACCCTGTCTATAAATAAAATACAAAATAGGGTTGGGGATGTGACTCAGTGTTAGAGTGCCCCTGACTTCAATATCCCCCCAAAAGGTCAAATCATGATATTATATATATATCAAAGAGAGAAAACACATATATACGGTTATCAGTTGCTGTGTAATGTCATTCTTTTTGTAAATTGCTTATTCTAGGTCTTGTGAATTATAATTAATTATGTTGGGATTAGAATCCAGGATTTCTGGCTCATAGAAAAAAGGGAGATAATGTACAAACTCCCATCATAAACTTTTGATGTTGCTTATTTCTCAAAAAGATTAGACTGAGTAACAGTGTTCTCATTTAACTGATGTGAAAGTTGACTAATCCAGTATAATATATATGTACTACAATGATATGTTTGGAATCTATGCACCATCTTTGACTAGGAGGCATCGTCTCTATGCATARGGCTGCCTTGCCCACTGGACATTGTGTTGTAATATACGCTCTAATAAATAATGACCAGGTCACCCAGACATAATTTTCCTAGGAGAACTACTTGTAATCCCAAGTACTGGTAAATGGTCTATGAACAAAACGATCTATAAACATAAAGGCTTTGTGTCAATCAACTGTGAGCATATTTGTTTAGAATTTGATTATCCCTTCCCCTGAAATGTAATTTGGGGGTAGACTGAAGTATAATTCTATCTCTGAATTATATCTTTTTAGATAATCTGGACAAAGAAACCTAACTGGTCTCTAGGCATAAGAAATCATCTCAATTAAAGAATTCCAGGATGTAAAAGGTCATGTTTGACCAGTGGTAAGGTAAGAGTAGAATGTTCCTTTTAACATGGACAAGTTGGCAGATGCAAACTAAATGGCAGTTTTATACTATCATGCATGGTTTCAAAAAATTAGKGCTCTAAGAAATGTATCACATTRGGATAATTTGATTTTCATATGGAAAGTTGTAATGCYGTCTTAGAATTTAAAACTGAGGATTGGTATAGAAGGGAATTCTGAACTTTTGTCTTTGCTATGACTATAGTTAGGTATATACTGATAGTTTTTATGTATTTTTCATTGGAAAACTGGCACAAATTCTTATGGACCAGAAAAMTATAGTTCATACATTTTCCATTTGAAAAATGAGAGAAAGGGTATAAATTCTTACAGTTCTTTTTATACCTAAAGTCACAGTCTATGTGAAATTTTATAGGAATTTTGTTATAAAGTGAACAAAAATKATATCCCATCTACGTATGATATATTAAAGTGCAYAAATGCATTCTACTGTCATGTATAACTAATTAAAACAAATAAAAAATTGAACAGATGTACATAAATTACTTATTAAGAAACAATCATGCCGATAGATTTTCAGTGCCAAAAAAAAATTATAAAAAAGCAAACAGAAACACACTAAAAAGTTCACTTTTACTTATTCAAATCACTTTCTTAATTTCATAAACATAAAAGCCATTTTTCTCTTGAGGATTGTCTTCAGAGCCTCTTTGACCTCCTTGTTCCTGAGGCTGTAGATCAAGGGGTTCAACATGGGGATGATCACTGTGTAGAAGACGGAGGCCATTTTATCGGTGTCAAGGGAATGSTTAGAGCTGGGCTGTAGGTACATGAAGAACAGGGTCCCATAGAATATGGTCACTGCCAGCACGTGGGAGCCACACGTGGAGAAAGCTTTGCGTCTTCCCTCAGCTGAACGCATCCTCAGGATGGCAGAAATAATGTACGTGTAGGAGACGAAGACAGTCAGAAGGGAGGAAATAAACATGACACCAGCACAGACAAAGATCCACAGCTGTTTGRAGTGGGTGTCGGAGCAAGTGAGCCTGAGGAGGGGCATGTCATCACAGTAGAAATGGTTGATGGTGTTGGAGTGGCAGTAGCACAGGCGGAAGGTAAGGACCGCATGGAAGAGTGCAACCAGGAAGCTGTAGCTATAGGGGACRGCTACAAGTTGAACGCAGACTCCTGGGGACATGATCACCATATAGAGCAGAGGGCTACATATGGCCACRTATCTGTCATAAGCCATGGAAGCCAGTAACAAGCACTCAGCCGTCATGAAGGCCAGGAAGCAGCCTAACTGTGCAGCACATGCACTGAAGGATATAACATTTTGCTGGTACAAGAAATTCCCAAGCATTTTGGGTGTKATGACAGAAGAGTAACAGAAATCAACAAAAGCCAGGTTGCTAAGGAAGAAGTACATGGGTGTGTTGAGTCTTGAATCTGTTCTAATGACCACGATCAAACCCAGGTTGCCGACTGCAGTGAAAAGATAGATGGATAAGAACGTCACAAAGAGGGGCATCTTCAGCTCCTGGCGATCCGTGAGGCCCACAAGAATGAACTCTGTCACTTGGGTGCAATTTTTCTGAGCCATGTGTCTTTGGAACATGTGGATGAAGAAAATGGAGAGTCTAATCAAGCTTAATATTTCTACATTTATTTAATATTCCAAAAAATAATTTAATACAAACATGATAGTATTTTAATATTGAAATCATTATTATGCTTGAAGACTGACAGTGGAATGAAGATCAAAAGAAGATTTTTGTGAGAAACAAAATATTAATTGAATTTACAATTATATAAATACAATCCTCCAAATTGTATTTACAAGTTCAAGAGTTGATGGTTGGGAGTCAGTCTGCAGTGACTCATTCTTTATTTAAAGTACTTTGCATTGTCTTACTTAAAATTTAACATTAATCTTTCAAATATTTAAAAATATCACTGTATTAAGAAATGTTGATATTCGTATCATAAATGAATAAATCTATTCTAAGGGTGTCACTTAAGCCATCACACCTGAATCCCATATTGGAATTCTCTGTTTTTTTTTTTATTCTAATTACATTTCTTACCACAAAGAGCTCACTATAGCTTTCTATGCATCTTCATAATATTGCAGAAGATTAACATGAAAGACACAAAAATAACCTCATTATAAAAATGATAGAAGTCTCTAATCGTTTAAGAAACTGAATTCAAACAGGTGGAGTTCAAACTCATGCTTGTAGACTCAGGAGTCTCTAAACCTTATCATTATATTCTCAATGTAGTTATCTTTCCTCAGCCAAGAGAATCCATAGAAGGCAGAAATAATGTACAGATAGGAGATAAAGACAATAAGAAGGGAGAAAATAGATATAATACCAACATAGGCAAAGACCTATAAATATTTGGAGCAATTGTCCATGTAAATTTATTCCACCAACACAGGACCAACATTGTTTGTTCACATGTTTCCTGATAGAGAGTTGCAAAGACATCTTTGTATGGGAAGTACCAATTTGCCAGGTACAAAGCAATGAATATCCACATGCCTTAAATATATTTTGCTTTACTAAAATAAAAAAGGCATTCGCTTTTTAATGGATTTACATCAATTTGTATGGGTCCTGTCATATCTTTAGTATTTACTTAAAAACATATATTAGTGCAGGTGCAGTTGCACGTGCCTATAATTCAAGAGGCTCAGGGGGCTGAGGCAGGAAGATTGCAAATTCAAAAATCATTTTTACATTCATTTTATTCCATTAGTATATTTGTTAAACTTTGTAATTATGAAATTTTATTAATTATAATAGCTTAACTTCATAACCACAGTTTATTACATAATTTGTTATTTTTTACCATGTATTATTGATATATCAGAAATTTGTCATACATTAAAGCAGGCATGTACCTCTCAGATTTTTATCTCCAAGACAAGAAGTATATACAATATGACTGGTAACACAGCAAGTAGTTATAACTTTACTTCTGCCATTAAGAGAATCTCTCTTCCTTTCTCTCCTCTTCTCACCTGCTCCTTCYCTCTCTCTTTCTCTCTCTTTGATTTAGTCTCAGCATAAACATGACAAGCTGTAATACATGAACAAGTGTGTACTTAAGCAAAATAGTTATTTCCTTAACTTGCCTCCCCATGGCACCCTAGCAATTCATACTATTACTGATTTCACAGGTCTCTTGTGCATTTGATTTTCCATGGGTCTATTTAACTGGGGTAACTAAAAAGAAAGAACAATTTCACTTTATACAAGGTGGATTCTGCATTGTCCCACATATAGGAAGATGACGGCCGTGGAATGACAACGTCATGTTCATTAAACAGAATTTAATAGTGAATCAAAGTTCTTGTGGAGAATAGAGTGATCTAAACTTTAGCCTCCCTTGGGCACTACTGAAAGTTTAGGGGGAAAGAGTAGGGCCTTAGTAAGTTGAATATATCAGGTTTTTTTTCAAGAATAGTCTCTTGTAAAACTCTAAAAACCTCACAGTTTAATCCTTTAAAATAAGAGAGAGAGAGAGAGAGAGAGAGAGAGAGAGAGAGAGAGAGAGAGAGAGAGAGAGAGAGAAGCAGGACAGAGGGAAAAAGAAAAGAAAAACAGATAGTATACCATGGGCATTGATTTCATTGCATTTTGAGATGTCTGTTATCACTGTAGGAAGTTCCATGACTATGGAAACATTCACATGACCAAAAGCTGTCCCCATCAAAAGTATAATAAATTTCCTGCTACATATGTTAGCCCCCACTAACTGTCACAATGCTATGACTTTAATAAAGAATCTATAAAATTGACTTGTGACTGTTTTTAGTTTTGGTTGTGTTTTCAGTTTTGTTCTGTAATCTGGGACTCTAAAACTCAAGCTAACAATGCAGTTGTTTGATAAAATCTTGCCCCAAATACTGGGCAGAGGGAAGGGAGAGGAAAAGAGGGGCATGGGAATAGGAAAGACAGTGAAATAAGATGGACATCATTACCCTAGGTGCATGTAAGATTATACAAATAGTGTGATCCTATTTTGTGTACAATCAGAGAAGTGAAAAATTGTGTACAATGAATCAAAGAGCATTCTGCTGTCACTTATAACTGATTAGAACAAATAATTTATATATATATATATATATATATATATATATATAAATAACAAATAATTTATATATATATGACTTTTTAGCGTCACCACACAACACATCACAGACAACCACAAAAGACTAATGATACTGGAATAACCCAACTGATAACTGAGTTTTGATATAGTTAGCTGCCATCATCTCTCTTTTTACTTAACAAATTCTTTGAAAAAACAATTATAAATAAAAGGCAAAACCCAAAATGCTCAGTTGCCCAACAGAGAATTCTTTGGACTAAAGATCACCTAACACATTTGTTTCTCCTTCCTTTTTTATTTGTCTGATCCTGTTGAACAGATGATGGTTCATGCCTTTTACCTCTGCTGTACTCTTTTTTCAACCACTATTAATTCTTTCTCATTTCTAATATTTAGGGTAAGATTTTATCAAAGAATTGCATCCTTAGCATATTGTTTTAAAAGGAATATCTTCACATTTTTCTTTGGACTGTTTACAGTTGGAAAACAAATATCAATATAAAGTTTGGTTTAGGAGAGTGTATAAATACACACACACACACACACACACACACACACACACATATGGTTTCTTTGTACACAATTCCTAAATGTAATATCTTATATCCCCCTGCCACTGCATAAAAAAATTAAAAGCAATTTTGAAGAAAACATATATACTGCTTTATAAGCACAAGAAAAGAGAGTTGGTGTAAATACTGCACAAACAAAATAACTTGTATTTCCTATCTAATTTTGACTAATGGGTCTTGAAGCATATTTTTTTTGGTTATCTCAGAATGGTTTCAGATTGTAGAGTTTGTATTTATTGGCTCTAGAATGTTTATTAAGCATGTAATCCATGGAAAGCAGTCACTTTAAAATAGAATTCTAATTCATTTTTTATTCATACTAAAAAAAATGAGCTACATTCCATTTTGCCAACCTCACACATTTGTTTGTACCTAATGAGAGCAACGTTAACATGGAGGAAAAGATGGACCCATACATCTTGAGTATCCTATATTATAATTTGCATGTGAAAAAACAAAAATGCATCTTCATTTTAAAGAAACATTATTTTTAAAAAGGAATAGGCAATTATGCATTAGTGTCTGCTCAAACTGAAACTCTTGTCTTGACTAGAGGCATCTTGATCCATGATCCAATGCAAGAAACATGTGTTATAAACTGTCACAGAACATACAAAAAATATCTAAAAGATGATTATCTTGTAATATATATGATTACATAAATCCAGAAGAATTACCAGAATGCATTATTTTCTTTTATAAAAATATAATGTATGCTATTAAAATAGTCAGTGTTTTCACTTTTCAATAATGTTTCATAGAGATGATTTAGCACTCACTCCTTTTCCTCCCCAAGTCTTCCAAGTTTGCCACCAGCTTCACAAATGCAACACATATACTGCTTCTCCACAACCACCTCCCAGCAGCAAAAAATACCCTCAGCTCCTCAGGACAATTTCTTTAGTTATTTTTTAGATATTTTTATAGTGTCACTTTTTCTTAGACTTCGTACTTGCACCAATCATTTTATGCTATATTCTTGTTAAGAAAATACATGTTTCTGTGAGATAGAGAATGTGTGAATTTATCTTTGAGTGTGCACATATGCTTCTAAATATATGCATGCAGGTATGTCTACATACATATGCATATACATACACCAGGATTTGTTTTAAAACCAAGTATCTTTTACCACTAAATCAAAATCTTAAGAAATATAATTATCTTTGGAGAAAAGCATATGAAAGTTCTTTTCTATTTCTAGAACTTGTGGCACAGAAGTCACTATTCAGAAGATCCTCAGAAAATACTTCCTGAATTAGATTGGTCATCTATCCTGACTCTACACCAACAGGCTTTCCTTCCATCAGGTACAGTCTTACTTATACAATAGCCCATGATGTTTTATTTTTATCATAATTTTTTCTCTTCTTTTAGAGAAGCAATGTGGCATATCATTAAAAATATGAAGCTTGAGCTTTAATAATGGCAATGAAATGCAATGGTAGTTTGACAAAGATTTAAAATGCTCTTGGTTCTATATTAAATAGAGGTAAGCTCCCTCTTTACTATTAAGTAAATGGAAAGTTTCCCTCTGGGTTGACTCATGCTATTAGATCTATTGGAAGAAAAAGAGGATAAATATTCATCTAGTGTAGACATGAATATCACTTTTTTAGCATATATGCATATATGTATCTACTACTTTCTATAATGAGGACAACCACTCATGATAGGCTGATCAAAGAACAATGCTGTTGCTTACCATTACCTGAGATAGATAGGTGGTAAAAGATTTTGCAAGCCTAGTTTGTGTTTCTACAGATTTGTAAGTCCTCTTTTGAGTATAGCCACAATATGATTAATAACCATGATACACTCTGAGAATGCACCAGAAAGCAAATTTGCTATTGTGTGCAAATCTCAACAGTATTTGCACAAGCTAAAAAGGCTGCAACATCACGAG